TACTACTAGTAAGGCACCTGTTACTACTAGCGTGGCACTTGTTACTAGTAGCTTCTTGTTTCAGACAAATGACGTCGGTCGATGCCAGTCTTAAGACGTCGGTCACCCTTGCCCAACGTAACGGACCTTTCCAGCGAAAACCTGTCGTAACCACCGTTTTCCACGGTAGGACCGGCTCCGTGGTTGGGGAGCAGAGTGCGTTGAGGATGTTTGGGCACCCCTGGCTAGAGTTGGATGTCTTTCTCCGCTTTGTCCACTTTGTGTTTAGCCTGATTGAACAGGTGGCACCCGAGGGTGACAGAGAAACAGGATGCGAGCCCTTTGAGGCGTTTGAGGGCACATCCCGGAAGGCACCCGTCTCGGCACAAAGCAGTAGACAAGCAAGCAGACATGCGACTTGCACACGGTATTTGCCAGACCTCCATAGTTGCTCGTTCCGCCAAAGGTTGGTTTGCTGCAGAAGGTCAAGACATCGAAGGCATCTGGAAATGCCTGAGATGTTCAGTTATCAGACAATAAGACAACAAGCAACATCAACTTGACTGGTCTATGAAAATGATCACAGGTTTGATCGACATTTGTCGTCTCGCACTTTTTGCCATGAGGCAACTCGGAAAGGCACTGGCAAACAGCAAGCCAAGGCCTGTTATGATCAAGTGAAGCCCAATCAGGGCGGATGAGGTGCATTGTACTCAGTCCTAGGAACCGAGTAAAGTAGTAATTCGATGTAATTCGGAGTGATCTGATCTGAACGCCTTGTACAAAAAGCCGTCCAGGCCCCCAGCCGCACAGTGCACGTGGCACACACGGATTTCCAGAAGTTGAAACAAATGCATCTGCGCAAGGCCAGCGTGAGATACTGTATGCTTCTTTGCGTTAGCCACTCGAGATTCTGAAGGAAAACCAATGTACCTCCAGGCAGTACCTTGATAGTGGAACCCATCAATATGTCCCAAAGGTATTGCATGGACTAGTCATGAGGTTTTTCATCTCCTGTTGTTGCCGAAGATAATGTAAAGCGAACGAGGATCAATGATTCCAACTGTGTTGTATGACAGTATGACTACACTACACCACACCATTTGAAGCCCATGAATCTCAAGAGAATCCCCCGGCTGCGGGCAGTCTACAAAACGTGCGGACCTTGTTGCTTTCAGGTTGTCCTTGGCCCCTTGCGGAAGAGATCTCAGAGACTCAGAATGGTGATGCCGAACCGTCATCACCCGCGAACCGTCATCGCTGCAATCGAAAACACGTCCGAAAGAAGCTGGCACTACTAGCGTGGCACTTGTTACTAGTAGCTTCTTTGTTACTACTAG